CTGGCCTCTGCCTCCCAAGTGTTGGGAGTAAAGGTGTGCACTGCCACACCCAGCTTGGAGCTGCTTCTTACGTCTTCTGCCTACAGAAGAGTTCAACAGACACTCTTCCTTGACCACCTCTGCTCAGGCCACCGCTTTTGGGGGGAAGAAAATGTCAGCACACATGAGCATGTCGAGCACACGGTTCTTGGCCACTGTCTTACTCCCTTGAGACAGAGTCTCTGAACTGGAGCTGGGCGGCTCCATTGAGCCTCCCAACCTTGCCTCTCTTCTAGAGACAGGGTTATAGGTCCCCAGTGCATGCCTGCTTTTTAGACGGGTGCATCTGGGTCCTCCTGTTTACACAGCATGTACTGTTGGCCACTGAGTCATCTCCTTAGCTCCATCAGGCCACCCTTTCTGTTATAGCTCCTCACATTCTAAGGCTTCCCCATACTGTCCCACTGCACCTTCCAGGTCTGTGGTACTGTCTTAGTTAGGATTTTTGTTTCTGTGAGAAAAAAAAAAAAACTACGACCAAAATCCACTTGGAAAGGAGAGGGTTGATTTCATCTTTCAGCATGTGGTTTATCATTTGGGGAAGTCAGGACAGGGACTCAAGGTCGGACCCTGGAGGAGGAGCTGATGCAGAGGCCATGGAGGAGTGCTGCTTCCTGGCTTGTTCCTCGTGCCTTGCTCAACCTGCTTTCCTATAGCACCTGGTACCGTCAGCAGGTGGTTGGCAATGCCCACTGTCAGCTGGACCCTCCCACATCAATCATCCACCAAGAAAATGTCCCACAGACTTGCCTATAGGCCAGTCCTATGGAGGCATTTTTTGAGTTGAGATTCCCTCTTCACTTATAATTCTAGCTTAATGTCAAGTTGACAGAAAAAACAAAAACCAACCAGACAGGCACCAATGCCTGTTACCTGCAGCCAACACCACCATAATCAGACTTCTCAAGACCTTTTTCCTCTCTGTTTGTACTCTTTGACTAGGTGCCTGATCCTGACTGTAGACCACATCATGTGTTAGAAAGCCATCACACATTTACCCGGTCTTGTTAGCCTTGGTTGTTGTCAGGAGGTTATGTAAAACATCATCACTCAGATCTGATTGTATCTTTATGGTTGAGTCCTTAGTCGTGAGGTTTATGTAACTGTTTGTTTATTCAGCAAATGTGATTGCCTACCTTGGTTCCAGATAGTGATAAATAAGATAACAAGGTCTGACCACTCACAATGTGAATAAAGAGCATAAACATCATGGAAGCGGCACAGTATACCTGTGGAATTATAATAGCACATGCTAGGGAGGATAACCCAGGGTATGGAAGCTTTGTTTTGAAGATGTAGTCCAGACTGGCTTTCAGGAACTCTGTGTAGTGAAGAATGATGATGAACTTACGAACTCTGAACAGTGTTCATTATAAACTCTGTCTCCACCTCCTAAATGCTAGGATTCCAGACATTGACACCACCCATAGTTTACATAAACTTTTTTGCCTTGTTTTTTGAGACAGGATTTCTCTGTGTAGCCCTGGTTGTCCTAGAACTAGCTCTGTAGACCAGGCTGGCCTCAAACTCAGATCCGAGTACTGAGATTAAAGATGTACAGTACCACTGTCCAGCTACATATAAATTTTATTAAATTTTAAAATTGTAATATAATACACAAAAAAAGTGCACAAAACAAAAATGAATGTAATGTCTACTAAAGTTAAGAAACAGGACATAGGGGCTGGAGTGATTGCCCGGTGCTTAAGAGCATTGACTGGTCTTCTGGAGGATCCGGGTTCAATTCCCAGCACCCACATGGCAGCTCACAATTGTAACTCCAGTTCCAGGAGATCTGACACCTTACACAGACAGACAAGCAGGCAGAAACGCCAGTGCAGCTAAGTAAATCTTAAATTTTTCTTAGAGAAAGAGAGAGAACCAGAACATGCCAGCTTCTTAGAAAGCCTCTTGGGGCTGAAGAGACAGACGCTCAGTAAAAACCTGCTCTGCGGCATGCAGCCCTGAGTGCACACCCTCAGCACCCAGCTCTACGGGATGGGGGCAGGCTGAGCCCTAGATGTCACTGACTGACCAGCCTAACCACAGTAGCAAATCGTGACTCAGTAATAAGATGGAACACGACAGTGGAAATGTCCTGTTCCAGTTTCCACACACTCATGCACACCTCTCTTGCACTCACTACATTCCCTCTTCTTAAAGAATGTTATGTGGGAATATGTGGACATTATATCTTTGCATGTATTTTTAAAATCTTATCTATTTTATGTTTGTGTCATTTTGAATATATTATTTTGTAAAAAGAAAGAAACCTCTAAGAATCTAGTCACTGAGCACCCCCATTACCTTTCACCTATGTGGGATGATCTATGTCGTAACATGGGTTTGACTTCTCTTTCTTTACTATGGGAAAAAATGTTCTCCTGTAGCCATTCTGTCTTCCAATTTCAAGGCAGTGTTCAGAAAATTACCGAAGTACTCCGTACTTATAAAATAAGCTTTCTGATGGGTGACTTTGCCCAGCAGTAGGTTCCTGTGAGCTTCTGAGCACATTGAAAGTAGACCAGACTGAGCTGTGATGTGTGGCAGCCTCTATGGATTGTGTGTCTTTCTGACTTGTTTCTTCAGCTTCGAGTGGGTTTGTCCAGTGTGGTCCTGCTGTAGCTAAAGGAGTGTCCTTCTCTATTTGCCAGTCAGTATTTCCCACCGTTACATCACCTCTCCCTTCCTCTGTATACTACAGTAAAATTGTTGTTAGGACTGCATTGGTACTGAGGATCAAACCCAGGCTGCACATGTTAGATGAGTGTTTTAGACTGAACCCACGACCAGCCCTGTTCCCTTGTTGTTTTTCCTGAACTATTTAGTGAGAGACGGGTACCAGAGCTCCGGGAGGGCTCGTTTGTGTGCTGCAGCAAATGACCACTGACCTAGTACTCCCGATAGCATCTACTGCTGCAGCACATGCAGGCAAGGCCAGGCACTGTGTGCCTCAGCTGGGGCCCCTGCGAGAACAGGGACTGACCCCAAGGGTTGGCTCAGCAGCTACTCCGTGGGAACTGTGTGTGGTAAAGATACACTGTCAAGTGCTTGGAAGTCACAGTCCCTTGGAGCAGCAGGATGAGGTCCTTGTCCTCTCTCTTGGTGTTCCTTAGAATTTACGTATACCGCTTTAATTTCATGGTCACCCTGATCATATAAATATATGTGTCTTGACAAGATAACACTATTAAATGTAACAAAGACCAAAAAAATAACAGCTCTGCCATATTGCACAGATAAATTAATTCAGCTGGCTTCCCCAGGGCCCCACTGAACAACTTTTGGTCAGAAATGGAAGACACAGGATCTACATTCTTGATATTGAAAAATAACAGTATCAAGTTGTTAGTAGAAAATAAACTAACATTTTGGGTCCTGACATATATAGCTCTATCTATATATCTATATATCTATCTATATGGCCCACCATGAAGTTGTTTGCCTCAGAATACTTGATAATAGCATAGTCCAGTTGTAAAGGCTGCTGCCCATTGAGTACTTGAAATGTGCATTTGAGAAATAGAACTTTCTGTGTCTTTACACTTGATTTATTTATTTTTATTATTTATGTATTTATGTATTTATTTATTTATTTATTTATTTATTTATTTATTTATTTATTTATTTATTTATTTATTTATTTATTTATTTACTTGAGACTGGGTCTACATAGTTCTGGCTGACCTAGAACTATGCAAACCATATTGGCCTTGAACTCACAGAGTTCCACCTGCCTCTACCTCCCAAGTGCTGGGATTAAAGGTGTCTGCCGCCACCACCGCTGTACTGAACTACTTTAAGTAGCCACAGTGTCTGGTGGGCAGCAGAGCCCTGGCGTGTGGCCCTGGTTTTCAGTTGGATCTGTTATGTCACACTCATGCTGAGACAGTCAGATCTTGTGGCATGATTTGCCTACAGGACGGACAAACAACAATGGAAGAACGCTGCTTTGAATACCTTGGCAAGGAAAGGGGACTAAGCATGTTGTTTTTCCAGTGCACAGTAATAACATTCATTTGGAAGTTCTGAGTAGAAGGTGGCATAAGACCTGACCCCACAATATAAAGAAGAAAGAGCAGAGAAGGCCAGAGTTAAATTCCACGTCGAGAGTCACTGGGCTCATTTAGATGTGTTTGAGACACTCGGGCCATTCCCACTCTGGCAACCTATTGTGGTTATTCTGAGGTTACTGTTGGAAAGCAGCCGGGATGTGTGAGTGTTCAGCCCTGCCCTGTGAGCTGGCCTGTCACCAGTTTTTCTCCTGTGAGAGTTCCACCAGCGTTGATAGTTAGGCTGTCCGTGACCTAGCAGCTTAGCTTCTGAAGCCCCCTTTGAGCAAAGGCCCCAAACCATCATATTCACATTCATCCAAGTATAAAGTAATGAAAATGCTTTACAAGTTGGATGTGTGTGTCTCTCTTAGCGAAATGGCACAGCTTATGGGTTTGCTTTGTCTAATGTTATCTTCGGGGTGGGGCTTCTGTAGCCAGCCTGTCTCGGTCGGCCTTCCTGTCTCAGAGGTACTATGAAGACTTAGATGAAGCCAGCTCCACATCATCCATCTCTCAGCCTCTGGAGGGAGAAGATGCCCGGTCACCCTGCAAAGAGGAGGAGGCTGTGGTCCAGGTCCATCGGCATGCCCCTGTGGTCCGCACACCTTCTATCCAACCCAGTCTCCTGCCCCAGGCGATGCCTTTTGCTAAGCCTCACCTGATTCATAGTTCTTCACCTGCTGTAATGAGCTCTTCAAGTAAGTCGGCAATTAAAACCGTGGGGCAGGGTGGCTGTCGAGCTGCATGTCCATGAGGCGGTCACTCACTGAGGCCATCTGCATTGTGCACTCACTGCTGCGGGTGGGGGCAGGGCTGTGTGCCAGTGCTTCCAGCAAAGACACGGCACTGGAGCAAAGCCATTACAAGAAAGCAGCTCTGTATTGCTCTAAATGATCGCTTGTAGTGCTTAAGAATTTTAATTTTAGCATTTTTCCTACAGCCTAATAGAATTTACCATTTTAAGTTTTCTGTGTTCCTTTCACTGGCCCCATTTTTCTGATAATTTTTCTTTTCCCCTCAGTCTCTACATCAGCCAGCAAAATTATTCCTCAAGGAGCCGACAGCACAATGCTGGCAACCAAAACGGTTAAGCATGGTGCACCAGGTCCTTCCCACCCTGTCGCAGCTCCCCAGGCGGCCGCTGCTGCAGCCCTGAGACGACAGATGGCCAATCAGGCACCAGGTGAAGACTACAGCCCTGTTCCTAGGAGAGTAGCTGGGCCGTCCAGGCGTGGGCTCTGGGGTGGGAGACAGCTGTCTCTCTGGCTGCTCCTCAGAATAGAAGGCTAGCTCGATGGCCTTCATCCCTGTGAGGAGAGCTCCCGGGAGGCAGAGACTAGGTCTCAGGGTTGTTGTTTTTGTTTTTGTTTGTTTGTTTGTTTGGTTGGTTGGTTTTTTTTTGCTTTGAAGAGGAGGTATTAGAAGTGACACCATTAGTTTCATGGGAAATTGATGGATTTTGACGATGATAATTCCTACTTTTAACTGGTGATCTTTGCTTTGGTCTTGGAAATGAAACCATCTGACATCATTAGAACAATATTTTCAGGATCCCATCCACTGGGAGGGTAGCTGTAGTGTGCCTGCTTGTGTTCCAGTGGTGAGAGAGTCAGCAGAGAAAGTTACCAAGGCCGTACATACCGGAGCTCGGCCTTCACAGATGCACTGTTCTGTGCTGATGTTGTCACTGGTCTCTAGTTAGGGCTTACCTCGGCAGGACTTAACAGGCTAGGACTCGGACTCGGCTAGTTGTCACTGCTTGTCACTTGGCAAGCCAGTGGTTCTCAGTTGGGCTGTTCTCCTTCCACCTGGCCCAGACGGTTAGCAGGAGTGCTGCCTGGGGAGGGTGAGGGACAGTCACTTATTCCCAGTGTGAAGAGTGCCAGGGTTTGAAGACTGGTAATGCCAGACATCTTCACTAAGGAGACTCAAAGAGACCTGGTGGTTTCATACAGGTAAAAAAGAATTGGGAACCAGACAGTGGCTCATACTTCTAATGCTAGCACTCAGGGGCCGAAGTAGGCAGATTGTCACGAGTTCATAACCAGTCTGGGCAGTATGGTGAACGTGGGGTCTGCGTGGGCCACAGAGTGAAGCCCTGTCTCAAAAAAAAAAAAAAAAAAAAAAATGCAGGACTGGAGAGATGACTCAGTGGTTAAGAACACTGGCTGTTCTTCCAGAAGACTTGGTTTCTATTCCCAGCACCCACAAGGTAGCTCACAACTGTCTTTAACTCCAAGATCTGGCACCCTCACACAGACATATATGCAGGCAAAACACCAATGAACATAAAATAAAAATAAATTATTTTTTTTTTTAAAGCAAAAAATAAAAACTACTAAACAGCCATAGGTCAAGTTTAAATATAGCCTTCTTAAGATAGCTAAAATAAATAATGAAAAGTAACGACAAGATAACTCTTGAAGGTACATTTAAGCTTTCAGAACACATAGTTCTTTGATGATCCCTTTATTATGTAGACAAATGGGATCTTGTGATTACACTCATGAGGTTCCAAGTCCAGCACATGATTTGAAAAGTTAAGATCTGTGAGGATTTGGGATGGTGTACTCAGCAAGAAATGCTCTGACCTTCACTGTCTCTTGGAGCAAGTTTTTAAGATGGAGGCATTTTCAAATGTTAAAATGAATGTGTGCAGTTAGTCAGCATTTTCCAAGCTCTTCTTCTGAAGACAGGAGTAAGAGTTACTGCACATCCTAGGCTGCCTGGGTTTGCCCAGGAGACCAGAGAGCTTTGCTCAGGCCTTTCCGGTTGTTAATAACAGAATGTCATTAAGGGTTATAAAACATGATGGAAAATTAAGGTAAAAATAAATAAGCGAGGTGGTCACATGTTTAATCCCAGCATTGGGAGGCAGAGGCAAGTGAATCTCTGAGTTCGAGGCCAGCCTGGTCTACAGAGTGAGTTCTAAGACAGCTATTAATGAGATCCTGCAACAAAAGAAAAAAAACTGATAAAGCTGCTGAGGTAAAAATAAATAAGGTCCATGTCAGATGTGTGTCCCTGTGGTCACTCTGTTCTCCAGGCCTGGGCCTCTTCCCTCACTCTGTCC